GAGATATAAATTTGATAAAATTAAAAAAAATATGATTTATAATAATATTTAGGAGATAAAAATGTGATAAAAATAAAAAATAATATTTAGGAGACAAAAATCTGATAAAAATAAAAAATAATATTTAAAATAATATTTAGGGGATACAAATATGATAAAATTCGAAAATAATATTTAAAATAATATTAAGGAGATAAAAATTTGATAAAAATTGAAAAAAAATTACAAATATGACATTAGGGTTTCTTAGGGTTGCCCTAGCGTTTCTTTCTTTTATATATAAGATATCTAGGAGATAAAAAAATTGATGAAAATCGATAATAATATTTAAAATAATATTTAGGAGATAAAAATTTGATAAAAAATCAAAAAATAATATTTAGGAGATAAAAATCTGATAAAAATTCGAAAATAATATCTAAAATAATATTAAGGAGATAAAAATTTGATAAAAATTGAAAAAAAATTACAAATATGACATTAGGGTTTCTTAGGGTTGCCCTAACGTTTCTTTCTTTTATATATAAGATAATTCAAAGTGATTACTCAAGCTCGCGAATTGAAAAAAAAAAAAACATTGTAGCATTAATATGTTGAAGTCGTCATCCACGTTGTGAAAAATCACATTGATCTGCAATCGCGTTCTAACAAATTTAATCTAAATTCTAATACGATTGTTTAATTGGACTTGACTATGGTGAGACCACCTGTGTTCTAAACTTATATGAGATATGCATTAATCATCATTAATTTTCTAAGATTAAATCTAGACCCTAGGAAAATAACATGACTTATGTTCCAAAAAATGAAGTACTTTACCAAATTATCCTTCAATTATGTTTTTTAATAAATAAATAAATATAAAATAGATTAAGATTGAATTGTCTAATTTACCCCCTACTACATTTTAATTAAATAATTAATTTAAATTCATTGTGACCGAGTTTTATTTGATAAATAATCGAAAAAAATGCATTCATTGGGGATAGAACTTGTGACATCTTAGAAAATCCATCACTCCTAACAATCCAAGCACATTAACTTATTATGAAATATTTAACCATAATTGAATAAATATTGTTAAATAAAACATTAATTGCGACATTCATTATTATTAAATGATATTAAATAAATTATTAACAAATTTAATATAATAAAGTTTGAAAAATATAAAGAATTGCAGTTCAATACGCCAAACTTCTATCATTAATTATATAATATTAGAAATATTAATAAACTCCACCATTTAAAAATATAAAGAATGCTCAATTATATTAAATATAAACAAATGCATAACTTAATCCAAACTCACTTATGTTATTAAATTGATAGTGTGACAAATCCAAATAAAAAATAAAATAATATGTTTATTTAGAAGAAGAAAAAATTATAATTCATTCCAATTAGTTTTCTTACTTTAAAATAAAATTATATACTACAAACACTATATTGTGAATTTTCTTTTAATATTTAATTTAATCAAATAGTAAGATTTGAATCGATTAAGCTCAAATCCTTTCAATTAGTAAACATTATTCAAATATTTGAATCGATTGCTTAACTATTGACATAACGTGTTACATGATTGATTTAACTATTTATAAGTATTTTCTAATATCTCTTTAATTCAATTTTGTCATAAAAAATAATGAATTTAATTCCTAACACATGTAAGAACCTAATCGTAAATCGTAATATTTTTATCAAAGCGTAATATGTGAACCAATTAAGCTCAAGTCCTTTCAATTTGTAAACATTATTCAAATATTTGAATCGATTAATTAAGCGCGCCCAACTATTGACAAGAACGTCTTGAATAAATTAACTATATTATTAATTAAAGTGTAATACATTTTTAATTAATTCAATTTTATCATAAAAAATATAATTTCTAAATTACGTAAGAATCAAATCATAAGATTAATTAAAGCGTATGATTTGAATCAATTAAGTGCAAGCTAGTCCTTTTAATTTCTGAATATTATTCAAAAAATTGAATCGATTAAGTTCAACCACTGACAAGACGTATTAATCAAGTTAACTATTTATAATTAAAGTCTACTATAATTTTAATTCAATTTTAACAAAAAAATAATAATTTAATTCGTAAAATCGTCAGAATCAAATCGTAAATCGTAAGATTAAATCTAACCATGAACCAATTAAATCCTACGATATGAATTAAATTTTACTATTTTCTTTGACTAAAATCTCAATCAAAACAAGGACTACCTAATACTTATAAGCTACTACACTAGTGTCTGATCTATATATCGACTATTGTCAACACTTACTTGACGTTTAACGCGATTCAAATATTTGAAAATTGTCTACTAATAAACTTCAATATTAACAAGTTAAATTGTTGTCCATCGAGATGTAACCTGCCTGATGTATATCTTTTAATGGGACTTGCATTTGTCATCAACAATAATACCATCTTGCTATTAATCCAAACAAGATATAAGTAATTTCTTCGGGGAAAATAAATCTTTGGAAAAAGTTTGTATATCCTCTGTAGAAAAGTAATAATTATCTTTCTATGCAGTAGTTTGGATGATGCGAAGTGTCATGGAAATGCCTAACAATAGTGGATAACTGTCGAACTCCTTTCAACAATGTATGTTCTTTAAAATGAGGATGAAATGGTGTGAAACAAAATTCAGATGATTAACAATATCAAGAGGAAACTAAATACCTTTTTACTCCAGACTATTTGATTATATTACTGCTTATAATTTCAATAGCAGGTTATTATAAGGAGTTCCAGTAGTAACTATCACAGTTTCAATTGCACCGCCATATACAATTACAACATCCTAAAAGCTGCACAGACCAAAACAAAGGTTCGTCACATTTTGTTAATCAACAAAGAGGTGATGAAGTATTATAATTTAAAGTTTGTAGGTATAAAATGCACCTATAATAATTGATGCAGTGTAGAAACAAGACCCAATCAAAATCACAAACAATTAAAATAAAGTTAAAATATTCTACTTATCCATAAATCCAGTAAAGAAAACAAGGGAAACTGGATT